ACCTCTTCCCTTTCCAGCTCTGCTGGACCTGCATGGATAGGCAAAGATTACAGAATTAATCTCACAAAAAGCAAAAGCTGTCATTGCATTCAAAAGTAACCTTTTCACATGCTGAGCACAGGCCTCAGTTTCACCCTACCACGCTCTGGAGGGTGTTCCCAGAGATGCTGTCGGGAGAGCCCTCATTGCCAGTGCGTGCCTGTCCTCTTCCCCGCTGTCCCTTCAAACCATCGGATGCAACACCCAAGACCATGCAGGCAGCAGGACAAGACCTCAGCCTGCACTGGTGATAGGCTGAGAAGAGAATCGGAGGTGTCTAATACCTCACAGCAGTAGCTAAGACTTTGGACAACCACTTGAGCAAACCAAAATGAGAAATAAATGAGAAGCATACGCACATGCCGGTGAGCCAGAGAATCCTTTGCCTAGAAGCAGCAGGGTGTGCTTCGGAGCTAGCGAGAGACACTGAACAGGCAGCGTCAACATTTTTTCCTTGCAGGGACAGCAAGAAGTCAGGTTTGGCATTTTCCACAGGGAGCTGTTGTCTCTTCTGAGCAGGCTGGTGCCTTGGTTGAAGAGGTGGCTGTCCCAAGGCCGCTCGCTCCCTGTCTGCGCAGCCAAGAGCTGCCTGGGGGGCGGTCAGCTGGGCAACGCGACCTGCTTAGGCACTGGAGTGAGACCAATACCACGTTTCACACAGACAACTTTATTTTCACATTTCTGGACGTATGCAAGGGAATGTTCTTTTTCCTGGGACGTGCTGGTAGACATATTATGCCCTACAGAATGGAGCTTAGCAAACTTCCTTATATGTGTGTACCTATATATGTACACATATATATAGTCTAGCAAAATTTTCTTTGCATTTCCCCATTTGTCAGAATGCATGTTTACAACAAACCAGAGCTAAAGGGACACTGCAAGGTTTTGTTTTATTTTTCTTATCTCTAAAATAAAATAGTGCTTGCATTTCTCTTCTACTTGATTGCCTGTTCTCCTGGTTGTACTTAAGCAAAAATACTGAGGAGACATGCTTATCAACTTTCAATTTTTACTCCTCTGAGATGCTATCGGTGATGCAGGTAAAACACTTTTGACCTCTTATTTACATGAAGTTCAGACGATCAGTTGGGTGTATGTCAGTGCACCCCTGAATCAGTGACGCAAACAAATCTCTAGGATGTAAATGTTACACTCACAGCACAGTTCAGTGGTTTAACAGCCTCTATGCAGATAGAGATGTGGTTATAAGAGTCCTGCTTTTAAAAGTTTCCCTTGTACATTTTTAACCTGACAGTGTCCCTTAAAGAGAAAGTACATACTGGGCTTAAGAAAGGACACCCTCCTACAGACACTGTCTTTTTATTATTAAAACCAACATTTTTAAAACCATTCGACAAAATTTAATACAAATTACCATTGGAGAAGAGCATTTGTGAAGCTGTGCATTGCTGCTTCATTAACATGGCTTTAGTTATCACAATTTATATTATTTGTGCATTTCCTTAGGTCTTTCATGGCACTTCCAGAAAGAAGAATAAAAAGCTGTTACCCCGCTGCTACCACCTTATCCGAGCTCACACACAGACACACAGATGTTTGTTCTCAACACGTGTCACAGTCAGGCAATGCCAAAGTTCTGCCCACAATGCTTGAACCTTAGGGTATCTGTACCTCAGACTCATGATTACTCATAATATTGCAATGCATTCAAAGTAACAGGAAAACAAACATTGACCATAACAGGCACGCTACATTTTTTTGCATTATCATTAATCACATTCCTATTTTTCAACAGATTGTTGCCTAAAATACATTTTAGAAAGGCTTTATTTAGAAAATGCTGGCATGAGGATGCAGACTAGTGTTTGTAACTAATGAAACAGTCAGACTAATGATTCAGACGTTATTTAAACATTCACAACTTTGAGAAAATTTGCACAGCTGACAGCACTGACAGATAGTCTAACTGTAACTTAGAAGCCAGCACAGTAACTACCTTCCACATACTGGCAGTAGGATTTATGATGGCATGAGATTAGAATAGCGTACTATGTTTTATTTAGAAAGCTGTAGCAGTAAGTATTTGCCATAAATATTGCAAGCCCCATTTATGAGCGATGGGAGGCTTTGCAAGTTTACAAAGTAACATTCACGGAAAACATAAAAAGCAAACCCAAAGACATTTCCATGCAAAGTGCGATTCTCTCAGAGTCACTGGATCTCTGTCATCTGCTGGCTGGAGCACACATGCTGCTCATGGAAAACCCAGAGGCCACCTATGCACTGATGTGCACCAGCCTCTGCCTGGTATCAGCAGGATCAGAGACAAACACAGGATAATTAATGGTTTTGCAAATGCAATGACTCTGCCACAGACAGAATGCACAATTAGAGCTATGGGAAAATACAACAGTTGCGTGTCACTTTGCCAGTCCTCCTATCTCGGCTACAATGGACTTCAAGTGGAGCAGCCCAGGGCTGAACATCAGGTATGTGCAGGTGGGGTCTGGACTCCTGTGAGGCTGAAATCGAAGCCAGTCACATCTCAAGGGCAGAACCAGGACCAGAGAGGCTTTTCAGCATCTCCCTCTCTGCCTAATGCACCCCCATCATTAGCAGGAGCTGAAAACTGACACAGTGGAGCAGAAGAGGAGATGCCAAAACTGCAGGGTCACTAATGGCAGCCTGATTCCAGCAATACACTTAAGCACGTACTGAGAGTAACATCCAAGTATTTGAAGCATATTGCCAAACCGGGGCCATGCTCAACAGAAAGCGGTTATAGCCCCTATGACACCCGTATAGCGCTTCTGCTAGTGAAGACCCAGAAAACACCTGAGGCCAAATTCATCACAGTAACTCCAGAAATTATTTGAGCTTCAGGGACCGTGGTATCATACAACTAGTAATGTTTTCTTTTGAAAAGGGCACATTCAAAACTTTTCAGGCTGTGTGTGCTATCTCATGAGCACATTTGGAGCTATGTTGCTAAAGAAGAAAGGCACTGTGCTAGCCTAATGCAAATGATGGCTTTCCATTATCTTGACCACTTTTCCCTCAGCTGGAACTGCTTAGACAGACAACAAACATGCACTTTTGGTCTGGGGAAAGAAAGCAGACTATTCATTATATTAAATTCTGTCATTTGCTAAAGTAATTGCAAGAAGAATCAAGAAGGAATAGTGCAAACATTGTGCCTTATTTCAGCTACAACTGATGTGTTTATCAAGTGCCTATTAAATAAAAACTAGACAAGGAGGACAAGGCTACTCTCACAGCATTGCACCACTTCTGCAAAGCACAGCACATAATTGGAGTTGTTATGCTCTGTGTCATTGCTAGGAAGGAATTCATTAATGGTATTTGTATGAAAGGCAACAAACAGGATAGACTAGGGTGTCATTCCAGTATACATATAACTTCCCTCACTTGAATAGCACTTTTGATGACAAGTGGGCAACTTAAAGGAATAAGAAGGGTATGGAGGAGCACAGTAAAAGGGGAAAACATCCCATCTTGGAGATAAAGCATAGCATTGCACTAGTACTGATCAGACCTACTTTTATAATCAGGAATAGTTCAACAGATTAAATTTTTATAAAATATAGGGCTACAGAAATGAGGCATTCTATATATTTTATATTATAAAAAGCTTCCACTTACATAGTGTTTAAAATATATCTTCACTGCTAACAGTATATTTTTAATATAGTATCTGATATAATAAAAATATATGCTTACTAGATGGGAGCAATGTTGCACTATGGCAGGGACTCTGCTTTCTCTGTGGTCTGAGCAGCTGGAAAAGTTGGCTGTTCCTTCCTTCCCTTGGTTTCTCAGCCATCGGCTGCCTGGAGACTGCAATGGCACCCTGATGTGTTAACTTTAAGAGTCTTCTACAAAGCAGGCTCTGACATGTTCCTCAGCTGACAAATAATCTACTGGAAAAAATCCAATCTTGGTGTAATTTCACTATATGATTCTTTCTGTTTTACTACTTCAAAAAAACAACCCCCAAAACAATGCTCTATTTAACATTAGTACAAAACCAGGACTTGCACAAGTGATGCAACTGCCTTGTAGGAAAAAAGATTTTGCTACAGAAAATGTTACATTAGCCGAAGGGATATATGGGCCTGGCAGATAATTCAGACTAGTAACAACTGAACAGCTTCAAATCAAACCCACTGGGTACTTTGTGGATGCCAAGGTCTGAGTGTGCAGACACAGCTGCATCAGCTGTGCCCTTTTCTGCACTAAGAAAAACTTAAAAATCCATAAAGTGGGCAACACTTTACCATCACTTCCAACGGAAAATACAAACATTCAAATTATGAATCTAGGAAGTGTGTTACAAATTACACCAAAAGGATCATAGCATATGACCACGGTGCTGCTGAGACGCACACTGGAGAATCACTTGGTGTCCCACCATGAGCTGGGACTGCAGAAGGTGGCTTGGACCAGAGCAGGTATTCATCTTCCTGTATCAGCCTTTATAAACCCGCCCAGTCTTGCAAGAACTCACCGTCACTGAACTGGATTTGTTCTGTAGTTTGGAATTTGTATGTGCAACACATGTTTTGCTCCTTTCTGGCTCACCCTGGCATGAAGATTCTCTGGTTAATGTATTCAGGAAAAGCTCCACCAAACTCAGCGTGGTGGGACCAGTGCATGCGAGAGGAGAAGGAGGATCTCTGCAGAAATGGAGATATTGGCTACATGGGCTGTCTCTTTAACATCCTAGGTATATTTAGTCTTCATTTTTTTACAGAATGCCCTGGTAAATTTGACTTTTGTCGAAGCAGATTAATGGCAAGGCATTCATAAAGCATTTTGTCGTATGGTAGTATGGACTGAGCTTTTCACTTGCGATAGATGGTTGAGTAAGCTATCAACATGTGCTATCATATGTAATCAAGCTTGCTAGATTAAAAGCAGGACTTGTGCCTAGCAAACAATGCTGTGTATTACTCATTGAACTTTGAGCAGCAGTTCTCTCGTCAGGATTTATTAAAATATTCACATGCTTCCAAAATGAAACAAAGGTCCACCGGCATCTCTTGGGGAGAAGAGGTGGGATCAGTCGCATTCGGTTGCCATTTGGTTGGAGATGTCATACAAAATCCTCACACACTGAACATGGCTGAATTGTAAAAAGCTTCCACCCAGAAAGGAGGTCTTTGTTACACAGAAAGTCTCTGGCTCCTGCAGCACTCTTCAGACACGGTTACATCACGTTCTCAAAGAGCTGTAAGGATCGCATGATATTGTCATCCTGAAAGCAATGAGAAGACATTTTCATAAAACCAGCACTGACAAGCACGACTCCTAACTCTGCATGGCACAGGAGGGGCTCTGCAGCTGCTACTGCAAGCAACAGCCTTGCTTCCATAAAGCTTTTCATTCTCGATGAGCTGGAACTGAATCAGTGATCAGGTCCAGATCAGCAAAGCAGTTGTCTCTTACTTTGGCACCTTAGTTGGTTTGAGGCATGCAAACACAGGATCTTCTCATAAGCTTGATATTCATGTACTGAACCCACAGAATTCAGCACCCAACTGCATTTCGTTGATTGTGAATATGCAAATATATAAGTTAACGTGCTTCAAAAGTCAAAATGAAATGCAGGTTTTGAACAAACAATCCAGCTGCCTTGAAGGACCACTTCATCCCTGAAATACAACCAGGTCAAACCTTATATAGAAGCAATCTCAGCTTCACTGAAGTTCCTAGATCCAAATGAGTGAGTTGGAAACACACAAGGGAAACTCTGGATTGTTTCTCATGAAGTCCCAAAATTGCACTTTGAGGTAATAACCAGAGTGATACTCAAAAATATAATGATGATTTTTCCCCCAGGAATTCAGTTATTCCAAAAGTTAGAAAAACTGTTTGCATGTAACATGAAAATGATTTTCCATACTGAGCAAATTAAGAGATCTATTGCATCTCATTCCTCTATCTTATGTTGAGGCTGCTTCGATCTATCTCACTTCCAATACGGGTTGGTGGGTACTAGTACAAGGCATTGCCTTGCATGGGAAGCCAATTATTTTCTCCAAAGCAATGCTAAGAGTTCACTGCCCATGAGCCACATCCTCAGAAATGGCAAAGATAAGCACTATAGGGCACTTTGGTTTGTTTTTCGTAAGGAAAAAACCCCCAAACATCTTAGTGTTGCAGGGCTCACTGCTTTCTGCTAGGAATCCACACATGACAGTGCAGCAGTCAGCACAGCTCCTAGTGCAAGGACATCAACAGAAGGAGCAAACCCCAAACTACAGCACAGCATTAAACTGTAACAGTTAAAAATGAAGTAAAGCTGCCTCAATACCAAGTCCACTAATTGCACACACACATCCAGCCTGAAGGCAAACGATGAATGTGAAGAATAATACACAACACACATCATCAAATTAAAGATGAGGTCAAAAATAAGCTACACAATCAGGAGGGACCAAGAATGAAGTAGTTGAAAAAAAATAGCCTTGTATTTTGCTAACAAGGATTTTGGTGCCTTCAGTCCCTGACCGAGAACTAATCTGGATGTGGCCACACTTAATACAGAAGCAGTGGGAAGACAGCCTAGCCCTCCACAGTGAGCCTCTTCCCATTGCCCAGGTCCAGGAGAGCTGTCTGATGGCAGAACAGAAAGGATTTCTGCAGGAAAAGTAAAACACACGGTACAGCTGGTATGCAATTATTTGCATCAATGTAAACTTTCTAAAATACAGAGGCCATTATTGTACTGGTTAAATATCAGAGGTGTCTCTGAACAAACATTCACACAGTTACAGTATAAGGCAAGAGACACTTGGCCAGTTACATGTTAATGCACATGCTTGTCTTTGTACCAGTGCTAAAAACACCTGCAAATATTTATTACAGCCAACCTAACATACAGAATTTGCAAGAGAGAGATTATTTCCAAAATACACACACACACACACACACACACACACACACACACACACACAAAGTCATTGCTATGATGACAGCATTTGCTTTTAATGACTGACCATGAAAACATCCCCTGGTTTTATAAGTCAGTGCTGCAAAGATTTTTAGAGACTTTGGGCTCTGGGCAGTTGCAGCGATATGATACCTGCTAATGTCATCTGGGGCAGTGCACAGAGACAGTATCAGCCTCTTAAAAAAATACTAAGGAAAAAGGAAGTTTAAGGGTGTTATAAGCTTTCTCTAGAGATACCTGCTTGCCTACAGAATCAGGTACTGCAGTTCACTCAGGAAAACAAAACCACCAACCACCAGCACTGGAAATGAAGAGGACCTCTCCTGTGATCAGTCTGACCTTACTTCCCTGTTCAGTCACAGGCTTCACAGAGCACAGCAGAAACTCAGTCTTGAAGCTGTGTTTTTCACAGAGCAAAGGAAACCTGAGATTCCGAGCAGCACCTTGTTTCAAATGGAGTTTGTCCAAAGGGAAAGCAAATGCTGTGACATGAGCTAGACCTTCCATTGCAGATATAATTCCATTCTTACCTCCTGACACGATTCAATAAACTCATCTAAAGTTACAACACCATCTTTGTTTTTATCCATTTTCTGTAAAATAAAATAAAATAAAATAAAAATTGTTTCCATAGCTAACACTGCAGTTACAGTATAATATCATATTTGATGCAACTTGAATAAATCCAGGGCACTTTTACAAGCTTAGGTTACATATTCGCTGTCATTGGACACATTTTCTGACTGATAAGGACTTGTTTACTCTGGCATTTAAAGCCCTTTGAGGTAATCTCCAACTATTCCTTCCTTGACATTCACAGGCTCTGCCGTTATGACATCATTTATTTATTCACTGCCTCACCAACCAGCACCCATACTCCCATCTCTCTACAGGCAGTTGAGAGAAGCAGCACAGACGGGCTGCAATATATGCAGAGCCTTCAGACTCACTGGATGTGGCACAACCCAACGCAAAGAGTTGGGCTAAGAGACATATGAGATACCTTTGGAGCCAGGAAATAAGCAGTGTTAGGCTGAATGGCTGCTAGGGCTTACTCTGGAATATATAGTGGGGCATAGGATGGAACCTGGGGCTAACTTTACAGTAAAGCATAGCTCAAGTGGTAAGAAAAACACATTAAAAAATCAAGTACCTGGAAGAATACTTCTACATGCTGCCTTGGAGCATCTTCCTTGAGCACTGGATACGTGTACTTTCCCATCATATCATAAATTGCCTTTACAATATCCATCATTTCCTGCAGTAGTGGTATGACAGCACAAACAAAAAAGAGAAACTAATAGAAATGACAGCACATTTCTTTCTTTCACTGCCCTTTCCTTCACCTTCCTTCTCCTATTAGAAAACAGCATAGGGAATGCCTATACATGTGTAGGCAGACAGAGGTATTGTTGTATACAAGTTCACCTATAAAAAACAAGACCTTTTTTCTGATGGTGCATGACTTTGCTACAGCCGTGCTGGAGGTGCCTGCAGTGCTCACTTCCCTCCTCTGGCCAGGCAGCACTGCAGGACACGTGCCTTGCCATGGCAGCTGCTGGGGACAGTGCTGGGCTGCAGTGGTGTGCTTGGTCCTGAGCACTGCGGCACCGACCTTGTCCCAGTGCCTCCTCCGGGTCAGGGACCTTCACAGCAGTCACTGGGAAGCTGGCCCTTCTCCACACCACAAATCACCACAGAACTCCATGATCAGTAGCAGCACAAACCCTCCAGGTACGCACAACAAATTTGAGAAGATAGATCTGCAAAACACTCAGGTTATTGTGCTCAAAACCAAGGCTCCCCACAAAGGGAACAAGCAATACCAGAGAAGAAGATAAAACCAGAAGATAATGCAGGACTTGGGAGTGGTGCTGAGGACTTGGAGTGCTGCAGGTGAGCCTACACCATGCCTCCTATTGCAGCCAGAAACCACTTGTGCCTCAGTCACCAAGTAGCTATTGTCACTGTCACCCTACCCTTCACAAACGTTACGTTGCTTATAGCTGTAACTAGGATTTTGCTCCTGGCTAAAGCAATCCATTAAAGGCACTGTAATATAGAAAAACATGTCACAGAATCATGCAATACAAGATCATTGTGCACTTAGACACAGATAAATGCTCAAGTCGTTCAATTTGCATTTAATTAGCTGCATGCAAAATTAACTGTGCTCTGCAACAGAAACCAGTCAGCTCTCTTCAGAAATCAACTACATTTGTGGGGAACAGCCTTACCTCCTTGTTTATATAGCCATCCTTATTTATGTCGTACAGATTAAACGTCCATCTTAACTTTTCATGAACAGTTCCCCGCAACAGAATGGACAATGCCATCACAAAATCCTGGTTCAGGGCAGAGACAGAAATGTGAATTTTCATAATACCCTCTTCAAAGTCATCTTTTTTACATACTGCCAGTCAAAAGACTTATCGGTTCTGGATCGAGCATATGGTTATCAATCTTTTCTGACTCCCTTTTCCAAAAATGCGTCCTCTCTGACTGAAGTCAATGAACATGGCATCCGATAAGATGGTCTGAGTACTGTCACACTAATAAATGTGTATGTGATAACCACAAAAATCAGAAAAGTCCTCAAGTACCCAACTGCCACTATAAAGGCCAACCTTTCTGGAAGGCCAGGAAGACATAATGGGTGCTGCAGCCTTAAAACCTCCTAAGTCCTGGGCTAAGTGGTGTGAAAATGGCATTGGCTTAATAGCAGATCCAGTCCAAGTCAGGCAGACTTGGATCCTAAAGTCAATAGGAGAGCAGCTGCCCTGACTCCTTGGACTTGCCAGGAACAGCACAGTATGCTCAAGGCTGGAAGCTGACACACTTGCTATCCGAATTTATCATGCTCTAAACTCTAAATACTGCATGACTGTAAGCAGGGCAAAATATATGTCTGGTTTTAAGATCACCGTGAGATGCTCCAGTGGCCATTTCTCTCCTAGAAATGGTCTGCTCCAAGGAGTCACTCAAACCGACACACAGCTGGACTCTTACCCCAGGACCTAGGGTACCAGTGAACAAGGAATTCTCTGGCAAACTCTGTCAGGCTTGACCAGATGTGATTTTTACCACTAATTACTCAGTCTGAGACATAGCACATTAACTGCATTTTTTTTAAATTACAGTAAAGTTATTGCTTTCAATAACTTTGAATTATTATTCATACTGCATGATGGCTCAGACATTGTTAAGTAGCATCACCACAGGGATTTATTAGTACAGGCAGAGCTTCAAGCTAACAGAGCTACCCAGTTCCTGGTACCTCATTTAATGTACTTAGTCCTTCTTATGTTATCTCCATTAGCTCTGCATGGGGCTGTGCATCACTTCTTAGAAACCTTTGCTCCTTATTCCTAAGGCTCAGAGGTATTTGAATTTGCTGAACCACACAAAAAAGGGGACAAAATGCTTATGTCTGACAACCACTAAAGGGACAAGTTTGCCAGGAAGGAAAGCTCAGCACATTTTTTATTTTTTAATAAATACTTATCTAAGCATTTTGCTGCGTCTCAGCCTGTTTAGGTTTCTGAAAACCTCTAAGTACTGAGTAGCTGCTATACGCAAAACTCCCACTGCAGCCATTGCTACAGACACACAGATACACGTGTGGCAATATTCCCATGTTCCATTTGATAAATGAACTAGTTTCTCAGTCTTACCTGGAAATTACTGGAGTTCTTAGCCATTTGATAGCAAAGGCAACATTGCTTATGGCTTCTAGATTTATGATCCTAGTAAATTGTCTTCAAAACTATGAAGTTCATTCTCCACAGGCCTATGACTGAACTACCACTCCAACTACGTGTGTGAGCTTGAAGGATGGCTATTTGTAGCCACAGCAACAAGTCTTTTAGTTAAAGGATGGATTTGGTTTCCCTAGGAAAAAAGTACCCGAGATGCTTGTCCAATATGTCAAATAAGCTAAAAAAAATCCCAACCTACAGTATTCCAGGAACATACAAACGTAACCCTGCAATGCATGATGACTGAAGACAACACACAATGTTCTGACTTTTCTTTGACATCCAAACTATCTGTGCAAATCGTTGGATGGGACTGTTGCCGACCTCTCTGCTCTGCTACACAAATCTCTGCACCGTGGTACTGAATAATGTAATCTCTACGTTTCTTTAGTGAAAGGAAACACGCAGCTCCACCTGCATAAACAAAAGTGAACCAGTCAAGATATCAACTGCTTTTAGACTTAAACCCATAATCCAACAAATCCTACCAGTTTACAATGAAGAACGGTTGGAAAAGCTTAAAAATAAAACTGAGAAAGAGGCATCAAAGGAGGATGTAAAACAATTACCTCAAACTTCACCGAGCCATTTTGTGCAGTGTCAAATGCATTAAAGAGATAATGTGCATACATGCTAGCATCTGAAAAACACAAAGGGCACCAATTGGTACAACAGTTCATTACACACTGATGGCTCTAAACATTTGTGATCGTATTTTCTTTTTGTATAAAAACCAACTCTGTAGCATTGCCAGCTGTTCTATGAACCAGCAAATGTTAACACAGACTTATATACTCCCCACACCCTTCCTTAAAACAGCCTTGAAACGTAAAAGGTTTTATTACAGTAGAAATTATCTGGTGGATTCTGGGGCTGCACTTGAAAGAATGAGCAAAAAACACCTTCCAAGAGTGTCTCTGGGGCAAATGGACTATTAGCTCTGGTGGGAAATGCAGCAAAAGCACCAGAGTGAGCGCAGCATGTGTGCTTCCTTCCTCTACCTTTTGCTCTGTGTGAGATACAGCGGAGGTTCCCAGGGACTGCCCATCTTCAGAAGGGTCTAGTGCCAGTAACATAAGTTTGACCCATGACTGTTAGAGAGTAATCTCATCTGAGGCATATTTTTGTCCCTCTAAATCTTAAACTGCTGGTTTTAGAAAATCTTTTCTGTTGAGAAGAACAGTTTCCATGACCATGTGAAGGATGGCTGTTAACTGGAGTAATCTCATCTGAGGCATATTTTTGTCCCTCTAAATCTTAAACTGCTGGTTTTAGAAAATCTTTTCTGATGAGAAGAACGGTTTCCATGACCCTGTGAAGGGTTAACTGGGAAAAACAGCAATGGTATGGAGAAAAGCAATCAATCAGGTGTATGCCTGACCTGAAGACTTCCAGGAAAGTGTAACAGTGTGCAGAAAAATCAAATACGTAAGTCACTGTCATCTGTAAGGGCTGACACACTGGACTTCAGGAAAAAAAAATAGTCTACTACATTTTTAAGAGAAAGATGATGAAATAAAACAGCTCCAGAAGAAAACCATCAAATTATTTGTGGGACACTCCTACAAAAAAAACTCCTATTAAGCTAGACTAAATTATGAACTAAAAATACTAAATTAGGGTCTTAGTTCAACAGTGTACGATGTACACTAAGAAACACTAGATCACGAGTATCATATGATGGTGAGGAAAAATGAAAGCCTGTCAAGTATAGGAATTGTTTGTAACAAAAATATCAGAAGCCTGGGATTACAGTACACAATTTTTTTATAATTCAGAGGTACTTTACTATCTCTGGAATGTACAAATTTATTTGTACAGAGAGCCATAAAAGTGAAAAAAAAATATCTGAGGAATCTGAAATCTCACAATTTATGGCACTACAGTTATGCAAACAGTTTGGAAACCAAGTGAAAGAAAGCAGTGTAAAATACAAAATCACATCTGCTGTCAAACTGATTTATTATTAAGCATGGATGTACTACTGTCCCCATTAACCAAGGGAGAAACACATTTCAAGTGAGTGGGACATCAAAAAAAGGCAAGTTTTTGTTATCCTCAGTAGAGGGCAAAAAGTTATCTATCCATGAAAACACAAAGTTTCTGTGCCTGATTGTCTTTCACACATGGGAAGGAAGGAGTCACCCGAGGCGTTTCACTTAACGGAGTTAGTTTGTGCAGTTACTTGGGATAACTGGAGTTCCTCGGTCTTACCAGAATTTAGTTTGAAAACACAAAACACATCCAGAAATAGTAGTAAGATTATAAATACTTATTCTTTTGCATATTTGTTAAAAATTTAAATTGAATGGTTGCTTTTTATATCGGAAACAAAAGCAACAACACTAGGAAATCAAGTCCCTACTGAAATGTCATGCTAACTTATTATAGGTGCACGTTTGAGGCCACATGCGCTGTAAAACATAAGCATAATACATTATCTTGACATTTAGTTGAGAAAGCACTTGTTGATGGCCTTTTTAAAGTAAATGCACATGCACATACACACTTTTGCAGAAACTTTAGTCACCATTCCACAATGAGTATATTCTGCAGGTACCACAAAGCAGAACATAATCAGAAAGTCACAAATACTGGATCTTTTACCTCAAAGACACATAAACCCTTGATTCATTTCTTTCAGTTTGAGAACAGTATCCTCAACAGAACATATCTGGTTAGAAGAACATAGAGATTCTTGGTGGTTTTAAAAGGCAGGAGCACACATGATTTGAGAACTTTAATACAATACTTTAATATTCCAATACATGAAGTGATCCCGTCTTAATTAGTCACACAAACACCAAAAATGATGCTTTCCCGTAGCGAGGTTTTCACATATCGACTAGGAACTGCTTGAAGAATTTTAGGGAGGTTTTGATTAATTTGCAGGCCAAAATAAGGTCTGGGACTCTTCTGTGCTAGATACAGCACACACAGCAGTCCAACAGCAAGGAAGCAAAGACTCACGGAGGCGAAGTGATTCAGCTTCCTGCTACCCAGAATGTCAGGACAGAAAAAAGCATCAATCCCCAGTTCCTATCTTAGACGAGTGCACTGTTTAGTGTAGAATAAAGGGCTGACAACTAGTGGCAATCTTTAATGTGAGTTTGTGAAATAACTGTTCAAAGGGTCTAACAATTTTATTACCTTGCTATTTGTGTTTCTGTTTTAGATCCTGCAAAGCTAAAGATCAATTCCCATTTCTTGCACAGATTATCTGAAGTACTTTTGCAGCCAGCTGGCAGTAATGAATGTTAAGGCATGCTTCAGTAAACCCAACAGACGCAAAGTGCTCTGCTTACCTCCATGAGGAAAAAACTGTGCATAGATCTGTTTGAATGTCTCTTCATTAACAACCCCACTAGGACATTCCTGTTGGAAAAGCAAAACAGAAAATAATAATTTAAAAAACAAATCAAGAAAAAACCACAGATCTGTAAAGGTTCATTTGCAAAATTCCACAAGCCCAAAGAGAGCAATTAAACAAATCACATTCACGTTCCCACAGTGCTCTGGATGCACAGGCTGTGCAGCTGATGAAATTAAAATAATTCAGACTGCAATTTCCTCTTAAGCATCTCATAGACACGGTTCGCAATTATTAACATTTTAACAGTGTTTGCAGTAGTGTTTAATCCTTGTTTTATGGGACAACCTAGAAAGGCAGTTCATGCCTTCTGTCATACGAAGATTTCACTAATAATTACAAATAATGCTAGTGCCTGCTAACACTTCTCTGTCCGATGCTTCCATGTGTATGAATTCATTAATCTTCAGCAGAAGATTGTAGCCAGATACCTAGCACCAGCTCCAGGGAGGCTAACGGCACAGACTATACTCATAAGTTCTTACAAACAAGCGTTGGTATTAGGCTGAAAACCATTAGATCATTTTTAACCAATTTATCCACTCAATCTTTCATAAAGTGCTGAGAAGCCAGACTGCGCCCATGAAAATTTTCTAAACTGGCAACCTGTTGGGTTATTTTAATTTTAAGCTCTGGTACTAGAATGTGAGGCATTTCATTCCTCTTTTGGCTGTTTTGAATAAGAGCATTGCCACTCATTGCCACTCAGACGGATTATCTGAGTAGGACAGCTCTGAATCTTTCACGGAACTGGTGCGTATATCTTACTTTGATGCTTATTATTAAACTGAAAGCCAGATCTGGGATCAAGAAGTTTCATCAGTTACTAGCAGTATACTCACTCCATGCTCTTGTCTTTCTATGATTGCTGTTCCATTTTAATACAGGTCCTTCAGCAAGAAGTTTCACAGATCTATAACCCTTTGCATGAGGACCGACCAGGTTTCAATTTTTGGAACCTGACTCCTACTACCTTGCCTGATAGCCCCGAATTCCTCGAATTCCCCGAATAGAAAGAGAGCAAACAGTTGATCCTGACCGTTTTTCTATCTGCCACTTGTGATTTTGTAGATCTTCCCTTTGTTATCTCTTTTCCAAGCTGAAGCATCCCACTCTGAGAAGCACCAAAGGCATTGAGCATCCTTTGACCATCCCTTCTTTGCATCTTTCTATTTCCACTGAACTCTTTCTGAGACAGCAGCAAAGGACTGCAAGCCATGTTCAAGATGCTGGTACACCACTCATTCATCCTGCAGCATGATGGTGCTCTCTCTCTCTGTTTCTCTCTTATTTCTTAATAAATCCTAATTGGAATTATTAAAGTAATGGGATGGAAACTGTTCTTCAGATCTTTTCAATAAGGCTAAGGCTAATCCAGTCTATTGGCTAACCCTGACTAGTTTTCAGGAAGCACATCATATTTTCCTCCTAGACTTACCTTCTAGAGTAATGGAAATTCATTTAAGAGTTCGTTCTTCTGCACTAACACATCTAGAAGGGCTATGTCCCTCTGCAAGCTGAAATGTTGTGGTAGCACAAACAAGCTTGGGGATGAACAGAATTTAGTTTCGAAGAGCACAGAGTCACAAAGAGTTTACATCCAAACACACCACTGCCGCATTATTCTACCTGGAATATGTCTGCAACGCCACATGATGCTGTTGTGATGTGACACCCCCCCCCACCCCCCACCAATATCCCTATAATTCCGTGCTTAGTCTGGATGTCACTGAAGAGCAGGCTTGGGAGCACATGTCATGGCCCTAGATAGGTTTGCAAAGCAGGGCAGGTGCCAGTACTGCTATAATTGCTCACTACCACCAGCCTGGAGCTGCCAAAGATCACAGCATCACAGAATGTCAGGAGTTGGAAGGGACTTCAAAAGCTCCCCCAGTCCAACCCCTGCAGAGCAGGATCACCAGAGCAGTCACACAGGAACACGGCCAGGCGGGTTTTGAATGTCTGCAGAGAAGGAGACTCCACAGCCCCTCTGGGCAGCCTGGGCCATGCTCTGCCACCCTCACAGTAAAGAAGTTTTCCTCGTGTTCAAGATGCATGCACTCACTGCGTGTTACACCCCACTCCGTGGATCCAAGAAAGATAAATGCTTATTCTGGTAGTATTGCAGGTTGTTGAATTTAAGATGAGTAAACTTTGGAAGTCTAAGAAAATCCCTTTGAATTGGTGACACAAACAGCTGGAGGAAGATTCAAGTCTATGACTTATTTATTGATGAGTTCTTTAGATAACTTTAAGAACAAAAAGGACTTTGACAAGAAATTCTTCCACCATGAGAAGCCTATAAAGGAAAAAAGGCATTTTTTCCAAGCCTCTGATCTGCCAGGATCCCCCGCTGCTGATGTGCATTCCCTAACCACAGAAAAGAAAAGAACGAACAAGAGAAATTGCTTTATCTTGTGCAAGTCATGGAAGGAGAGCAAGGAGGGGTACACTTCAGGTGACATCAGAGGCAGTTCCTTATTCACATACCTGTTCACTACTGAAATTAGGGTGATTAGATCCGAGTTCCTTTCTCCGATGCACAAGAAATTGTTGGGCAGAAAACCATCAGTGATTTGGATAGATTTGAGCTAAATGAAGGATAATTTGTTGCTTGAAAAACCCTGAAATTATCTTTTACTCTGTGTCTTCATGTCCTGACAACTGCCCTTCCACTGGTTATGTTTGAGCATCCCTAATAAAACCCACATCTAGCACTGTGGTCTTGACCTTGCCAGGGTCACCCCTTCTCCTTTGTCAGTGTTCCAGGCTTGCTCCACAGCAAGGAGAGGAAAAGACCAGCTGGACTATCTAAACCCAGTGGCTGCAGGACCAGACCTTGGTTTTTCATTTACAGACAAAACTTAGTTCTTAAAGCTTAGTTCAAAATTCTGTATGGCAAAGTTCCTGGTTAGATGAGTATCCTCAAAATGTTCCAAAGCTCCTAACAAAACAGCCATTGGCTGGTTTCTTTGTCATGAAAAAAGTGGTTACTTTTTAATATATTTTTGCCAATTCTAATAAGCTAGAAATCATTAAAAGCAGAATAACTAACAGAATATTATTATTTAATAGGATATTATAAGTACCATAAAAGTATTTTTCCAAAGTTCATCTTTCCTAAAGCTTGTAATTAAGCATACATTAAATAAATAATCTGGTATCTATTTATGGTATCTTTTAGTCATGACCAAGTACCCTTCCAACAGCTGACGAAGCTTCCTCCTTGGTCACTAGAGTGCTCCTTCTCCAAGACTCACACTGGGCCTTTGTAGAACTTCAGAGTAGTAGATCAAATTGTCATTCTTTTTAAAACCCAGCCTAGCAACGCACCGAACCATCCTTTCCAGCATAGCTTCTGGCCAAACACAACGTGAAGATGCATTTCTTTCTCTTATCTTGATAAATGCAATGATTATCTTCACTAAATGTGAAGATGCTTAAAGATAGTTTCTTATTTTCTCTATACTTTCCACAACATTATATTAATAGCCCTTGTTTACTAAGAGCCCCAACCCACCACCAGCAACCCTGAGAATGAAGTTTAAGTCTGCAAAGGGCAGGCACAGAGGAGAGGCTGCTGCTGCTCGCAGTTTCCTCGTAGATGCAAAGTCTCCTGTAGCAGGAGACTTTTGGCCATTGTGCCTGATTAAATTTTCTGAATTTTCACATGATCCTTATTGCTTCCGATGCTCCATCTGGAAGCCAAATCAAAGTTTGCATCCAGGAGTGCTGGGGAGAGGCAGCGCTGACACTGATCAGCCTGTTTAGCTCTCTATAAGTGGATTGCTTTCAGACACATGTGCTAGTACCAACTCATTTACACTTAATTGATCACAGTTTTGTTTTTATAAGAGTCAAATAATGCTCAAGAGGCCTCATTAGTGCTACAGTATGACTTAATACAGCTGACTCAAAAGAAATCTCTCTTGTAAAAAGGAGCAGGTAAGCTCAGTGTCAGTTTAAATTCCACTGAAGGCAAAGGTTGACTCATTCAAGACAGTTTTCTTGGGGGTACGAGAAAGCACAGTCCTTCACCATAATGTTCAGTGGCAGGGGGTTAGATTTCAGGCAAAGACCTCTGATTTCTTTAACCTATGAAGTAATTTAAAATGTCTAACAAGAACACTGAACATTTTTTTGTAGAGTTTTTACATTTTTCTGTATTGTTGTCAAGCATGTTAACAACAGCTCATTTTCAAAAAGTTAACTACCGAGCACTGGCACTGGCAGCACGAGCCATGCATTTTAATCTCCTCTCACAGACTTCTTTTAAAATTCTAAACTACAAAGGAGCTGAATCCACATTTAAAAAGAAGAAGAAAAAAGAAAAAAGAGCATCAAACAGAGGCTGCACTTGCCGTTCGCTCTTCTGCTGGAATCTGAAATCGACTTCACTGAGTGCGTTCAAAGATGTGCAGGGCAGACAAGCAGGGATCAGAGGCAGAACTGAAGTGGGGCTAAATATAACCTGCCCATCAGAGTGCTCTCAGCTATCTGGCCAGAGCATGAAAAGGAGGACTCAGGGGGTCACAGTCTGCTAAACTAGAGGTATTCATTTAGCTGACCGGGCTCTAATGTACTCTCCTTTAGGATCCAAAATCTAGATTTGCATCTCTAAGCATTGACGTATCCCATATGTTTTCTTGCTCTTACTATGCTCTTCCAGTTTGAGATATTTTGGGGATTATGAAAGTATCAGAACATTTCTGCCTTGCTCATACTGCTTGCTTTGGACTCTAAAAACCTGATTTGTTAGAGATGATTACATCTCTCGTACTACACTCCATTACAGATTTGATAAAATATTCACACTAAAGCAAGGTAAGAATGTCTCCAACAGCCCCTCAGTTATTTGCGTTGTCTATTTTCTGATTTAGTATTAGGGAGGTAACCCTTGCAGCTAACAACCATTTTCCCCTAACTGCACAGAACCCCCTGCATTGAGAAAAAATCCTCATAAAAAATCCCAATCCTTTTCAATCCATGCACCTAATGTAAATCACCAGAAACATGGTCTAAATGGGAGCTATTGAATTACTGAACTCAAACCTCTGTCATTCTTGGTCATTTCACTAGTCATCAATTTATTAATTTTGATCTTAAAAAACATTACTCATTCTCCTCCCTCCCATTACATAATTGTACCCCAAACCTCACTCCCCTGGGGAGTGCAAACTTTCTTCTAAATTCACAGCTATTTTGTTCCTATGTCAATAGTGCCTTTTAGCTCAAACAATTCTCTCACCTGATGTATTTAAGACAGGAAGCATCACGTTTCATTTTAAGCTAAACCAAGGCAAGATTCACCAGAGGTTCTGCTGGTTTTTGCCACCTCAGTTACCTTGCTTTTGCAGAACCAGAGCCAAAGCTACCAGGCCAAACACCTTGTATAAATCTAGCTCCAGTCTGACAGTAGCTAACTCCAAGGTGCAAAATAGGCTATTCCACATACCACAGAATGTGCCCTGGGGGCAGAGATAACTGCTAAGATACAAGTGAATTTCTGGTCATGATATCAAGAGATGTTGGAGGACAGCACCCTTTCACCACTGGAAAAGAAAGCTGAAGGTAAAGGGAGAGAGGACATTTGGCCAGGCAGCAAGGACACTGACCTGGTTGGCGTCCTCTTGTTCCCTGGAGCGGCAAAGGATCTGAATTTGGTGGAAGCCTCCATCAGTCTGGTGCAGAAACACCAGACCTGACCAGCAACACACTAGGAAGAGACTGGAAGATTTGGAGGCAGCATAGAAACAGATTTTGGAGATGAAGAAAGAAAAGGAATAAAAGTACTGAGAATTAGGGCCCTGCTCAGCCATGCCACCAGTCCAGAGCTACCCCAGGCTGCGCTGAACTGCCTCTGGTCAGACACCATCTCTGCTCATGAACACTGAATCCTCAGCTCCTGTGACTGCAGGACTCTCCGTGTCCATTACAAGTACCTGTAAACGGCTCTGTGGTTATCCAGGTGTGGCCTCATGATTAAACAGGAACAGCACAGTCACTGAGAGCAAGCAGTAAGTACAAGCCAGAGAGAGGAAAATGGCTGCATTCCCACAGGGATCTTGAATCTCCAGATGGCACTGTAACACCATCCCAAAAAACAGATGGTTTGGTACAATAGCAAATATGGTAACAGCTGAGTCAGTTTGCCTGCTGTGCATAATTACTCATCCCATTGAAAACATGCTTTACAGGCTACCAGTGCTAAAGCTGCCCTTTCATCTCAATTTAAACCTCAGATATTAAAGCTTCATGCATATTGCTTGCATAACAGTTAGAGGAAAACAAGCTGCTTTGACCTGACAACCTGATATAAAACAAGATCTTGCCAGCACTGCCAATTAATACCAAGACCTTCAGTGAGCTCTTAAGAAAGGGTTTAGGTCAGAAGTTAAATGCACTTGTCTATCATTCTTGCCCTGGGAGGTAATGCCTCTGCACTGCAAACTGACAGCAAAACTGGGAGGGGCAAGGGTAAATGTTGTATCTGCCAAGAGAGCTGCAAGACGGCCTCTGTTTAGCATTGGAGCTGCTGGCACAGCCAGCTCCTCCTCTCAGCACTGAGCTATGCTCTCCCACACAGGACACCCACCAAACACAGCAGTACAGAAGGAATTTCAGAGATCTTAGCAAAACACAGCAGTTAAGACTCTCTGAATTTAGTCTGCCGCTGTGGGCAGTCACGTCATATTATACTGTACATTACCCTGTCAAGTTCTGTCTTAAAAGCCATACAATTTCTCGCTGAATGCCCAAAGCATGAAGAGGTCTCAGAGTATCAGTTTTCAGTGGTCAGAAAACTTCACACGTGAAATAACCTCCTAAGTGCAGCAAAGGCTGTACAAATACAACAAATGCACTAAACAGAAAAACATAGAAAGCTGATCTATGCCTTGGCCCGCTTAGGTGAGCAACAAAGTAAAGGATGAAACCACCAAACCCCTTGGAGAAGTATACAGTGCAGATATAATTCAACCAAATTTCAAA